CTCACCGGGGAAGTTGTGCATGAAGCAGGCCTGGGCCGCGACGATCCACTCGGCCCGGGTCTCACAGAAGATGGCGATGTTGTTTTTCTGGCGCTGACCCAGAGACGCTAACCCGCTGCCGAGCTGAGACGCCGCCGAGAAAACATCCTGATAGGAGAGCCAGCGGTACTCTCCCAGAATCACCTGCAGGTGTAAAAGTTAAATTAGGATACACAATCATTGCTCTAATGAAAAAAACGTCACCTATAATGCAAAATCCACATGTCTTTTCTACATCAACATGTGTCCCCTCTTCTTCATGTCTCTTCTACATCAACATGTGTCCCCTCTTCTCCATGTCTCTTCTACATCAACATGTGTCCCCTCTTCTTCATGTCTCTTCTACATCAACATGTGTCCCCTCTTCTCCATGTCTCTTCTACATCAACATGTGTCCCCTCTTCTTCATGTCTCTTCTACATCAACATGTGTCCCCTCTTCTTCATGTCTCTTCTACATCAACATGTGTCCCCTCTTCTTCATGTCTCTTCTTCATCAACATGTGTCCCCTCTTCTTCATGTCTCTTCTACATCAACATGTGTCCCCTCTTCTTCATGTCTCTTCCACATCAACATGTGTCCCCTCTTCTTCATGTCTCTTCTACATCAACATGTGTTCCCTCTTCTTCATGTCTCTTCTACATCAACATGTGTCTCCTCTTCTTCATGTCTCTTCTTCATCAACATGTGTCCCCTCTTCTTCATGTCTCTTCTACATCAACATGTGTCCCCTCTTCTTCATGTCTCTTCTACATCAACATGTGTCCCCTCTTCTTCATGTCTCTTCTACATCAACATGTGTCTCCTCTTCTTCATGTCTCTTCTTCATCAACATGTGTCCCCTCTTCTTCATGTCTCTTCTACATCAACATGTGTCCCCTCTTCTTCATGTCTCTTCTACATCAACATGTGTCCCCTCTTCTTCATGTCTCTTCTACATCAACATGTGTCCCCTCTTCTTCATGTCTCTTCTACATCAACATGTGTCCCCTCTTCTTCATGTCTCTTCTACATCAACATGTGTCCCCTCTTCTTCATGTCTCTTCTACATCAACATGTGTCCCCTCTGTGTAAAGAGACTCTGAAAGTTTCAGGAACAAAGATTCTCTCTCTTTTTGTCCTGATCCATTTATATAAAAACCTGTCTGAAAATGAGCTGATCAGATTTTGGCCACTTTATGATGTCATAACGATGTTTTGGCTTGTGTCACCATTAGCCAATCAGCAACCAAGGTAGTTCATGAGAACTTAGTTCATGAGAACTCTTTAGTTCTCATGAACTAAAGAGTTCAACCGACTCAAGGCAACCGACTCAAACATTCTTTCTTAAATGTTGAAATATGTGACCTTTTTGAACCTCAAACTGTTATTTCACTAGCTTAAACATAATTATATTTATGACATTATTAGACTTTAAATAATGCAGCATCAGGTAGCATTTGACTAATGTACACAATTAAAGTCCTGTTACACAAGTTACTTGATCTTTTTGTTGCACATTTTTTGTTGGATAATTTTACTTGTTCGTACCTCAAACAGTTATTTCACTTTATTTGTTATGCAGAACTGGTGAAGTATTCCGATTTATATGTCATTATCAGATTGTTGCTTTAGTTAGAATTGTACTGTTTTGATACACACAATATTGATATTCAGGACTTCATTTGGACATTTTTGTAATATATTCGAAAACATTTGACTTTTTTGTTCAGCTATTTCATTGGTTTCCCTAACCCTAACCCAAAGATGCATTATATTGAAAGTATATCTCATGTTTTAATGCACATTCTTAATCTGAAAAGAACTAAAGTTATAAACGAAATGTATTGGAGTAAAAATACAATATTTTCCTTTCAAATGAATTGGAGTGGAAGTGTAAAGTAGCATGGAAACACCAAAACCATCCTCTGTTTGTGCGTGTGTGTGTGTGTGTGTGTGAGTGTGTGTGTGAGTGGGGTTATACTGGCTCCTGGTGGTGAATATGTGTCAGTCCACTCAGAAACACACTATAATGATGACTGGACAGAACTGATTTCCATTTTCAGGGAACAACAGGAGCTTAAACTCGTTCTCCTGCAGCATTAAAACTTTCAACAGTGAGGTTTAAAAGGATTAACAGCATCAGGCTGTGGGGATTAGAGTAATTCAGAGGTACTGTAACTGTAAAAGTCCACGGTGCACGCTCCAAAACACACAGGAAACACTGTTCTAATAGTTATAATATAGAGCTCTGCCACTTTAACACTGAGGTCTGAAATAACTTTCAGGTAGTCAACAAATAAGAAATAGTTTTGGGGTTAATTAATTAGTTGTTTTGTCTAAAAGAAAAAGGCAGAAAATTGTAAAAGAAAATACAGTGAATCACTGGTTCCTACAGTCTTACAAATGTCTTGCAATATTAGCAAAATAATTTAATTTCGGCCCGCAGGATAATTTCTAATTACTATTAGATCTGGCCCGCCGGTATATTGCACGCACACCTTCACTCAATCCTGAGGGTTTCCTCAGGTCAGAGCCTGAGCCCAAACATTGATGAACTTGCACCCAAGATGAGATGCCAAGTATCTGGCTTGAACTAGCATCACAGAGCAGCACACTGAGTTTACATGGATGTTTCCTTCTGCACTTTTTCTCTCACGACAACAGAGCATGTTTGGTTTGTTCTTTGAGGGAAATAGTTTTTTTGAAGCTGTTGTTGGCCTGTGGAAACATTTAATCATAAGAAATGACTCTGGAGAAGCTGCAGATAGAGCCATAAGAAATGAATGCAACTGATTATTTAATGTTGTTTTTATAGGCAATCATTTAAGCTTTGTTAGTTCCAGGTTTAATATGTGCAATAAGTTCATTTCAATAAGTTCTGCAATAAACATTGAACCAGTCCGACCCTCGACTAGTACAATTTTTTTTATTTTGGCCCACTGTGTATTTGAGTTTGATACCCCTGTCATAGAGGTATGAAGAGCCAGGAAATATTTGGGTACTTGTGGGTTATCTGTTACCACTTTTTCAGTTTTTTTCAGACTCTCTAATTAACCCTAACCCCTAGGATTAATGTTTGTTAGTTTGAGAAATGAAAAACTTCATGTGGAGGAGCCAGATACCTGCTATTAAAAAGTGGCGACAGATAACCCACAAGTACCAGTATTTGCATTTAAGGAGCTAGAATGATAGAATGTGGATAGCAAAGCAAATGCAAAATCCCATTGGCTTTTTGTAAAGGGAGCCCTTGTGATGCTAACTTACAAAGTCAGCCTACCAAAAAACCTGTCATCACTGCTCCAAAATACACAGAGAAAACTTGCCTTTGACTTGAATTAAATGTGTGTTGTCTCAGTGTATATCTTGACAAAATAAAATAGTTTTCTATCTGTGTTTTACATTTTTGTTTCACTTGTATGTTTGCACCACAACACCAAGTCAAATTCCTCGTACATATGGTATGGTCCATAATACCATACCATAATAACCTGGTGAGGCTGTCCAACAACATCCTCTGGGACCCAAAGCATGTTCTGAACCGAGAATATGAACTGCTACCATCTAATGGGAGATTCAATAAAGTCAGACTGAAGCATCCTTTGAGCAGTCGATCCTCACAGTACATACAGAGCTGAATCCCAGATCAAATGCACGCTGAAGGCTTGATCTGACCACTAAAGTATTATTGTGTCGTATCGTGTCAACCTACCTTGTAATAAACCTGATTCTGATTCTGATCACATTTCCTCCCCCATCTTTACCTTCTTGAACAGCTTCCCATTGCCCTGCCTCTCGTCCTCCTCACTGATCACCTCTCTGGTCCCTAGGCAGTGTCTGTGTGGAAACCTCAGGGCTGCGAACTCGAACATCTTATCCAGGGTTTGAACACCCGGGCGCAGCGTGGCCTCCAGTCTCTTTGTGGCCCTCACGGCTCGATAGGGGCCCTCGGGACATCCCGGCTCCGAGCAGGCCTTCATCCTCTTGGCTCTGTCTTCCTCTGAGCCGTAGCGAACACCATCATCATTATCGAGCGTGGACATCCAGCTGAGGAAGACTGAGGGCAGGAAGGAGAGGAAGGAGTAGATCCAGACCGCGAAGTGGAAGAGCAGCAGCAGCACGGGGCTCAGGTCCTCCTTCAGCTTCATCCTGCTGAAGCTGTGGAGACGATGCAGCGCAGAGAGGAAGGTGGAGGAAGACGAAGGGTGAGGAAAAAAGGTCCTTCTCCTGCTGAGTTTACTCTTTCTTCTGCTCCTGGTTTCTGTCACTTGAAGGTCAGCAGGTCCACACTGCGGGGGAAATACATCAGAAGCAGAATCAGAAACAGGTTTATCACAAGGTAGGTTGACACGTACGAGGAATTTGACTTGATGTCGTGGTGCATACATAAAAGTAAAACAAAAATAAAAAAACACTATAATAACATTAAAAAGAAAATAAGAAAACATATAGTAAAATAAAAAAGCATTTACATTGAAATAGAATGGAATAAATTGTAAAATATGTGCAGTAAAAAAAAACAGATATTGTCAACATTGTGTGCATTAATGTAATGCATAGAGTCTAAATGACATTAACCTGGCATTAGAGCAACAACTATGTGAAATATGTGCAATATATATATATATATATATATATATATATATATATATATACATTTTGTATTGCTAGTGGAGCCTCGCAGATGGGGGTGCTGCAGCCCCCTCAGCTCCCCCCCCCTTCCCGCGTCCATTCGCGATGTCTCGCTGTCTCGCAGACCCCACGCAGCAATCAGGAAATGAACCCAGCTCACACTGTCCGCTCCTCGCAGCAGCGAGCTGCGCAACGTCCCGCCCAGACGGCCCCCAGACCCCACGCAGCATTCTCATCTGTTTGTCATTACTGGTGTCATTTCCTGGTTGCTAACTAACGCCATTGTAACACATAATCAATCTGATGTTCCGCTGTAACGGTGGTGGACTCATCAGAACAGAGTGGGCGAGCTGACCAATCAGAGCACAGCGGGCTCATTGGGAGGGGGGGGGCAGGAGCTCCAACAAGCCGTGTAGGACACAGAGTGATTACACATACTATACAGAGATGCTGTATGAGAAACCAATGAGAGTTTGGAACATTGCACAATTTAAATCTATTCTAGTAGACCTCAACGATAGAATTATGATCAGTAGAAATGGCCATGACATGGGACCTTTAATGCTGTCTTTGGCTCTTTTCTTCTGTAACAAATGTTAATGTCCCCTCTGTGGGACGAATAAAGGTATTTTGATTCTGATTCTGAACTCACATGTATATCCTTCTCAAAATAAGCGTGTGTCTGTCATAAAATGTTCAGTTGTGGGAAAAAGTGTCTTCTCCTTCTACTGTTCCTCATTTATTTCTTCTTGCTTTCTTCAGCGGATCTTGACTTGAACTCAATGGCAATAAAAGGTCAACTAGTCCGCACTACTGGGGAAAAAAAGACATTAAACTTGAGTGAGTGAGGGTCAGTATACCCTACATTCAACATGTTATCATGTAAAATAATTGTAATATTCCTAAAAAGTTAAAAAGAAAATGAAAGAATAAAACTAAAAACGGTTATCAACACAAGTGATTGCATCCTCACACACACACACACACACACACACACACACACACACACTTTCAACACAATGACACACACACACACACACACACACACACACACACACACACACACACACACACACACACACACACACACACACACACACACACACACACACACACACAGTATGTCAGACCCTCTCTCCCTTAAAGCACAACTATCTAAACTCAAAGCAGAACTAAAAGCAGAGGGGAAATGTAGTTACTGGTAAACCACGGTTGGTTGTATAGTTACTTCTCCTTCCTGCTGTCCCTGTGTCCAGCACACTCACAGCGGGAATACAGTCAAAATAACTGTCAGTGACAAAAACAAAAACAAAGAGAGACAGAACAAGAGAGCAGCTGGGAACGATACGAAAAAATAAACAAAAAGAGAAGAAAATAGAAGAGTAAGTGAAACGGAAAAAAGTCCCTGTCTCTCTAACAAACATAAACAACAACAAGTGTGTGAAGAATTGAGGAAAAAACGTAAAAGTGTATCGTAGTGTTTTTTTTTACGTGAATACATTTTTCGCCCTACGGTTTTCTTATGTGTGTTAACATTATTGCATTTAGTTGATAAAACCTTTTTCAAACATAAAACTCCATTATTTTATTCTCACTTTACACTGCCTTACCTTCCTAAGATAGTTGGTTTGTATGAGTTACTTATCCAAAGTCAGTGTATTAAAGGTGGGGTAGGTAATTTTGGAGAAACCAGCTCGAGTGCGCTAGAATTTGAAAATACACAACCGGAGAAAATCTGCCACTTCCTTACAGAGCCCCTCCTCCAACACACACGAACGCGCACATGACCAATGAGGGCACGAGATAAGTTTGTGCACAGATGGAAGGCTGACAGGCAGGTAGGCCATCCAGTTACTTTAGCCGGGCCGGCTCAAATGATTGGTCGTGCTTTTTACAGTACTACGGCTTCCACAGATGATATTTTTGTATGGATTTTTGGTCAAAGCACTTCAGATATTCATTGCTATCGGGATGTTAAGAGCATTCCATGGAATATAACAAAAAGTGTATCTCGAGCCGGTTTCTCAAACTTACCTACCCTACCTTTAACTACATTATTTTGTTCGTAGTATTGGTAAATTGGTAAAGTGTATACTAACTTATACTAACCCTGACCCTATTTTAAAATCATGTGCAATGCCTTGCTGCTATAACAAAACAAGTTCCCAAATTGGGATCATTGAAGTGAATCTAAAGGATCAGAGTACTTCTTCTTCTCTCCTCTGTTTTCCATCAAGTGTTCCTCTGAGACTGGTGAATAATTCAGAGATTTCCTGAGCTCTCCACCTGCTCTCCCTGTGGGACGCTGCGTGTTGTTCTGATGGCTGCTTTCATCACAGAGGCTACAGAGTACCAGAGCTGCACCCTGCTGGAGGAAACGCTTCACACACACATCGCCCAGCATCACACACACGCACGCACGCACGCACGCACGCACGCACGCACGCACGCACGCACGCACGCACGCACGCACGCACGCACGCACACACACACACACACACACACACACACACACACACACACACACACACACACACACACACACACACACACACACACACACACACACACACACACACACACACACACACACACACACACACACACACACACACACATCGCCCAGCATCACACACACATCGCCCAGCCTCACACACTGTCTGCTGTCTTTCAGGAAGTAAAGGTCAATGAAACACAAACATTTCCCAACTTGGGATCAATAAAGTACTTTTTATCTTATCTTACACAGCCACATGACAAACAAGGTAAACAATGGGGCAAGGGGTTTATTTTGACGCAGCACGATCTACAGAGCTCTGAAGGAAAGCGAGAGCAAAACCAGAAGCAGAA